CCGCGCACCTAATGACTGTGACCTGCATCAGCAGAACCTCGACCAACTATCCAAACATCGAGCAGTGGTGTGCCCCAAGGCACTGTACTGGGGCCGATTTTGTTTCTCATCCATGTAAACGATGTGCCTCAGATACGCCAATCACTTTGTGCGGTGTTCGCAGATGACTTGAAGGTGTGGAGAGTAATCCGCACATCTAATGACTGTGACCTGCTTCTGCAGGACGTCGACCGCCTCTCCACGTAGTCTGCAAAGATCAATCTTCCGATTAACGCGGTCAAGTCGCAATTCATGAGGCTAGGTAAGTGTGAGCACAGTCGGACCTACACTGTGGCCGGTCAACCGTTGCATCCCGCGCCTTTCGTGCGAGATCTCAATGTACCCTCAGGCTACGACGTAAAGTCCATGGACAACACGAATAGGCTTTAGGAAAACAGCCTTCGTATGCTTTGGGTGCTCAGGCGCAGCTTCAGCACTTGGTCCAAAGAGATTGCCACTCGCCTCTTCGTGTCAATAATACGACCTATGGTAGAGTATGGCTCTCCCGCGTAGTGTCCGATCACCCGGGGCGAAGTAGACAGGATTGAGTGAGTGCAGCATGTGGCCGTACGAAGACCGGTGTAAGGAACTAGGGCTTTACACCCTAGCTTATCGTCGACTGCGGGTTGACCTCATCATGACGCAGTGGATATTGCATCTTGATGAATACCCCGTGTTTAGGCCCCCGCTGCTGCATCTGCGCACACCAAGCAGCACACGAAGACACCGGTACAAGCTTGTAGTACCGGAGTTGAGGCGCGTCGCACACCAACTCTGTTTCGGACGGAGTGGTGAATGTATGGAACAACCGGCCGCAGCACGTAGTTGAGGCGAAGTCAGTGAATGAATTTAAGAAATTCCTGGACAAACACTTAGCCGATATGAAATATATCGAGCGCACTACAACATAACGGATCTTTGTACATGGGTGATATTAGATGCAGCTACACAGAGATATCTCTTCTTGCTGCTTCCAACCAGCCATCATCATCATCATCAAGCAGGTCTAATGAGCCGCGAGCGAGGCCACTCGGGTCTATCATCGAAACGACGACTGGTCCTGCTGAGAACACAAGTAGAACCGGTGCAGTTTGTAGGTATGTTGCATGCACTTCCTTGATTTAATAACCGCGTGCTTGCGTGCTGAGTTTCTTTAATTCAGATGATTGGTTTGGTTGACTATATTGTTTTAATGTGTATTTTGGTATCTCACTTTAATGTCGATCTGAATAATCTATTTAGTCGCACATATCGCGTAAACAAAAGGTGGCTTTTTAATCACTTTTTCTGACACCTTGAATTTATCGCGGATTTGTTGATAAATAGAATGTGTCAGCTTATACGCCGTAACGGCGCTTCGCTGCCGCACGACCACCACTAGTCGCGCGCGAGCTGAGCATACCGCGAGGACGCCCACCCGTACGCGGATTCGAACCGGTGACCTTATGGTTGAAAATCAAACGTGCAGACCACTCGGCCACCGGCCGACCGAATTTGTTGATAACTAATTTATTCCATATACTAAGTTAGCGAAAAGATACGTCGGCATCTTCGCATGCTTTAATCGAAATATTTTAGTTGATAATGTCATTTCATGTGATTGGCTGAACTTGACATCCCCGGTGCGGCTGCGGTTGCTGTGAATGTTGACAAGATAGTTACCTGACTAACACCCTACACCTCGATTATTGTCTTCAGAAGATTGTGAATCGTTGTTCGGAGTGGAGACGAGGTGCACGGTCCTCGTGGCCGTCCTAGGCTTAAACAGTGGTTCCATCCAGTTTGGGGCGGACTACGGCCCAACCACCAGCTTGTGTACGTCGGATACGCATGATTTCCCAATAACGCATGAATGCTTCTGCTCTCTTTGTTGAAGCAGTGTGGGCCGGCTCCATTGATGAAACGTGTCTCCCATCTACATTCCTCGCGGTTTTATTCTTTCGGGTTTATACTGGATATAGTGTGTGAATGGAGCTGTGGGTGTTGCAGCGGAACCGGATGCCGTCAACCAGATGTGTGGTTGGCAGCAACCGGTTTCGGATTTGCCCGTCACTGTGGCCAGCCACAGGACGCCTGCGCCTACAGAGGGACTATGAATGGCTTGTGCTGCACCACCCACAGCTCCATCCACACACCTCATATCCACTGTAAACCCGAAGGAATAAGACCGGGAGGCATGCGGATGGGAGCCACGTTTCATTAACGGAGCCGGCCCACACTCCTTCACAGGCAAACACAAGCACGCTGTACTTGGGAATCAAGCGCACACAAGGCGATGGCTGGACCGTAGTCCGTTCCACACTGAGTGCATGGAACCACTCTTCGAGCCTAGCACAACCACAACGACCGTGCACCCCATCCACCCCAGCAACGACCAACTATCTCCTGGAGCCAGTATGGATGAGGTAGTGGGTAATAGACAGGTAGGCGGTTTGTCAACATGCACACCAAGCGCAGCCTCACCGGGGATGTCAAACAACAGCCAATTATTCGAAATGCCGATTTCAAATAAACGTACCGAATAAAGTAAACGTATATGACGACATAAATACTTGTTAAATGAGCATATGGAGAAAATTGGTTACAAGCCAATCCGCGAGAAGTACAAAAGTTATTTTAAAAATACCACGTGATAAAGTTATGCAAATTTACCACAATTAGCATGAGCGACGCGTGCAAGTTAGGAGAAGATTATCAGGTACGCAGAACAAATCAAATAAAGTGGAATGAATTTTATCCACATTAAAATGACCTAGTTTAAGTGTAAGTTGGTTTAGCCCAACTGCGGTGAAGCAGCATTATGAATGCAATATATATATATATATATATATATATATATATATATATATTTATAATGCTCCAAAGGCCGCGATGATAAAAACGGACATCCGCTGGACATATTTTTCGTGAACAGGCCGTCTCGAAACTTTACAGCAGGACCACTCTCACCGTAGCCTTATGGACTAGGTCTAACAGAAGCGCAGGTCGGTTAGACGTTATATTTGTCAACGATTAGCGGAAGCAACCAGAGCTTTAGAGACGCGCAGGGAGATCTCATCCTAGTCAGTCCTGCAAGAAGATCTTCCACTTCGAAGGGGCGAAGGTAATTACGAACTGAGAAGCAGACATTGTGGATTATGGTAGGCTTGCGAGGAATCATAAAATAAGCTTATGCGATCTGTATATTCAAGTCATGAATTCGGCCCCTCGGAAGCAGCTCAACGTCCCTGGCAGCACAATCGTCAAGAACACTCTTTAGGATGTCATCCACAGCAAGCTGAACAAGAAGAGTGATGCTGGGTAGCCCTGTCTCTCGCCACTGGTGACAAGTAAAGGGGGCAAAAGTCTGCCACACACCCGTAGTTCGTCCGAGAATAGATAGGTTGAAGAATGTTGACATAATTATCGGGCACTCTCATTCTCAACAGACAACTCCAGAGAGAAGCTCTGTCAACTGAGCCAAACACAGCGCGTAGGTCTAAGAAGACAATGATAGTTGGCCGCCCGAATGTTTTACGACACTTGAATACCTGACCGATCCTAAAGGCGTGATCAATACAGCTGCGGCCACAGCGGAAAGCAATTTGCCCTACGCTTATATTCTGTTCGTGAACTAGGCTGAATCCCCTTAAATGCAAATCAGTTAACCCGTTAGACGCAAAGCAGTCTGTTCAATCACCACTTTGATAATGGGAACATTTATTAGGTTCCAATCGGGCAGAAGTGTTTCAGTGATCCAGGTCTTTTGGAAATGATAATTAATTCTCAGACAAGTGACAGGCCTTTATCTTAGAAAAGAACCGGAAGTTCGTCTAGGCTAATAATTTTGTAGCGTTTCAGGAGGCGAAGCTCATAAGCAACATCAACCTCGGATAGCGGTGAAGCGTTTACACACTAGGGAGCACTATGGATTCCCGGATGAGAATTCATCGGTGCTGTAGGCCAGTTAAACTACTGTACAAGTCGAGATTATTGGCAGTTGGTTAGTTGATTATTGGTTCCGCGAAAAACTTCATTTACGATCGGCTTTTTTCCACCAGTGGATCGGATCAGAAGGAAAAGCGTAGGGAAATTCCGTGAGGCGGAGCTTACTTTATCTCAATGACTCGCTGTGTCCACCAGGTCTCGCGTTTCACTGGAGGAGCTCCTTGAACTCGGCGTTGTTATCCTCGCATGGTGAATGACTCAGCGCCAGCGAAAGTTGCTTGGCAGACTTCGTGGGAGATCCAGTGGTTAGCAGGAACAATAGGAAAACCATAGATCAAATTCGCAAAGCTGTGGATAGCCCAGCGGATGTGTGCCCAGTGCGTCTCAAAATCTGGTCACAAGGCACCCTGAGACCTGAGGCTAAGGCATCCTGAAAGGCGTTCAGAACGTTTAGGGCAGAAATCTTAGCCATTCCCAGTGACGCTGTTTGATACCACTAAAACGTAGAGCTATAGTAGCACACACGAGCACAGGATCCGAAGTGAGTTATGTACCACAGACTAACTGAAGGCGGTGTGGTCAATTTGCGTCCACGGTTGGTTAAGTGGTGTAGGTCTCCAGGTGGCGTGTTGGTACCAGGATTGCCGAAAGTGGGTGCTTGAGAGAAATAGGTTATGATCGATGCAGAGCTGAAGTAGGCGGTCACCGTCGTCCGTCCAGCGAATACCATGGAAATATCGAACAACGACCTCACGTTCGTCAGCTTCAAGTCTGCCGACCTGTGCATTTAGGACTCTGGTATGCACCACGACGTCCGTGTAACGCTTTCTTCGGAAGATCGGAGAGTTGATAGTAGAAGTCATCATAAACTGAGCCAGGGCTGCAGTCTGCGAAAGCATACGCCAGTACAACGGACAAACAACGTATGCTGACTCGGCGGTTAGACGATCAGTTAGACTTACAGTTTCAGCATACACAAGGCAGACGCGAATGACAACACATATGATGACACAAAGAAGTTGCTGTGTACTGACCGTATATGCGTAGAATGTGTAATTCTGGACACGGGTTCCTTATGAGGGAGCAGGAAGTTGGAATTCTTGGGGTTGGTCACAACAAACACGGGCCACTCTGGGGCGAAAGACGTCGCACGACTGGACAGCTGAACATCGACAAACGAAACCAAATCATTGTCGACGACCACCACGCGATAGCTGCAGTATGGAGCAAACAATCACATAATGAAGAGCCAGAATAAAAGGATAAAAGTAGAATACCATTTTTAATAACAAAAGGAATAAATGCATATGCTCGTAGTGCAGGAGGCATGCCACACTAGGCATTACGGGATGGACGTAGGGAAGAAGAATTTGCTGAAAGGAATGGTGACTCACTGTGTTGAAAATGCTCGACCGGGTGACAATGGGAATGTTTAAAAAACTGGTTCAACTCAAGCAAGATGGTACTTAGGAGGTGAGAAAGTAAAGAAAATGATGTGACCAGCAGTGTGCTTCGGTGTATGGAGAAAGATGCGTTATTGAAATCAGGTGAGAGTGGAGATCAAGTAAAAACTGAATAATGGGGTCAAACAAAGGGATACACCGAACCGAGTTAACAATTTAAGCAGATTTGATGTCAGACATAAGTATCAGGCAAATTTTTTACGATCTTGTTCTCTGCAAGCGCCTAGTCCCAGTTCCAGCCGAAAGCAAGACCCAACACCTTTGAAGTAAACGTTTGTTGCACAAAAGCTATCGAAATGGGACAGGTAGAAAATAGTAAATTTCAACTCCTCTGGAACAACGTAACTAAAAGCAGTAGATTAGAATCGATTCAGCCAGTGTGGAGGTGGGTGTATGCTTCGTGCAGCGGACTAAAACTTGATTCGAACCGGGTGCTTCCGTTAAATAGTATCATTTCACTTCGTCTTGCAACTGAAAAAGTATTTTCCGGCAAGACTTTTTCGTGGACAGAAAGACAAAATAAAAGTACGTGAAATAAAAAATAAACAAGATGGGATTTTGGCTTTATAATGTGATATCAAGAGGTAGACCATAAAAATGAACACCAAGGAAGCCACTAAGTTCCTAGATCAGCTCCTTCAAGTAAAGCCACACCTAATCAACAATGCGATCTAGAAATAAACTGGTTTAACAGGTAATAATGATGGGAGAAACATTATTTACTCCAAGTAGCGGTATAAGGTCAACGAAATAACAGTAAGCTCGTCGCAAAATAACAACGGGACCCAGTACTGTAAACCATCTGGCTCCGATAAAAGTTGACATTGGTGCATGATCACCAGTGATCGGGGGGAAGTAACCGCGCGGTAATGATCGTACTTCAGTGCCGTCATCCAGTACTTCGATTACCAGATATGTGAAGGATCGAGTGTCAAAAGCACGACACAGCAGCTCGTTTGCAAAGTTATTCAAAGGTAGCTGTAAGAGCTAAGCGCGGGAAAATGTGATAAATGAAGAACTGGGATCAACTAGTCAAATGACAAGGACAGTTAAAGCATATCACAGTACTATGGGTTAGGGTTCCGCCCGGTTCAGACAATTTGAAGAAGTAGGGTTCCATGAAACAAACCGAGGGTTATCTCAATTAGGATGACAGTTTCTTGACGTTTTCGGATACATTTTATAGTTGCTATTTAGGCGGAAGATGATTGTTGACAACACAGAAGAGAGAGGCACCGTTAACTTACAGCAGCACCTCTAAAATGGGAATAGTTAAATGTCCTGGCAATTTCAACAGTCAAAGTTCTAGCTCAGCTTATAGCAATAAGTTCGCTCTATAGAAACCAAAACGTATGACGCCAAAACATAAAGACCGATAATGAAGACAAAATGTTCAAATCAGAGAACACCGAAAATGGGCGATAAACTTTGAGAACTCTAACTATTCGGTGACATTTAGAACCCGGGTACCTCATATAAGGTTTCACTGAACGAAGGGCCGAGGTCCAGCTTAAAGTAAAATGCAATCAAAGCGCAGACAAAGTGTTGCAACCCACTTTAAACAAAGCGACAATAAAGTAACAGCTGTTGCGCAAGGTTCGTTTGCGGAGCTTGATGATGCATTGGACACGGCACCTGCTGTGAGCTCGTGCACGTTGAAATGAAAATCTTAAACAAGGAGAAAATAAGTTACAGAGAGGGGTATTGAATCAAACAACCCTAATATGTCCTTAATGCTGAGCGCCCACAAGACATACTGGTAGGCTACAGATCGTAAAATTTTTTTATCATGCTGGTGATCCGTGACGGCAAACGTGCATGTGCAGAGAAACCACTGTGTAGCGAAAGCTGTTGGGCAGGCAGACAGATCCGAGTCAGCCAAGGATATGGGAGCTAGATGCGCTCCCTAGGGGTAAGTTGTAATTCCCAGTCGGGAGAAAACAAGACCTCCGTGTAAGTAGGGTGAATGGGCGCTGACAAAAAGAGGGGGAAACCGAAACACGGAAGAAAAAAAGCTGAACAGTACAAAAAGAAGAGAACTATGTAACCTGAAATCGTAACTTCTGAGAATTCAAAAATATCAAATGTGGAGGATGAGGCAAATGAAATCGTTTATTTACCAATGAGGAAACGGTGAAGTGCGAGGCATAGCTAGTAGGAACTTACTATCGTCCATCACGCCAGTCGCCCAGTTCTAGCTCCAAGAAGCCTTGTGGCTGGAGGGTGTACATCTTGGTTATCAGGCGTCCAATCGTATGCAGATGACCACAGAGGTAAGCGTAGGCGCTGCGTCTGAAAGATTGAGAGGAACGAATGAAATCCCACTTAATAACCGAAAATAATTCAAATAAGACAGAAAAAATGTCAGTGAACGCTTAGTAGTCCCTGCCGCATAAGAAACATGGCTGATCGCGTGGGCGCGCTTCAGGTCCAATCACAACAGTTACGGTGAGCGGGCCGGACTAGTCAAATTTAGATAAACATTAAGCAGGGCCGGACGAACCCGGCAGATATGCCGTGTGAATTGCACATCACATATGAGGCCGCAAAACCACCGTCACCTTCGTTAGATAGGAAGCAACTGTAGCGTCGACATGGCGCTCCGAGTGTAGAGCTCATCAAGCTAGCATCCGTTCGGCACGATGATACGACCGCGTAACGTACACAGAAACTTAAAGCGATCATTCAAGGGCACTGATACAAACTGGATTATCGGCGAGAGTTAATTATATGAGCAGTGATTGCGCTCCAGAAGGCGCTGTGAACAAGTGTTCCAACGCGCTGCCAAAGTAGGCAGCAAGCAAAAAACAAAAGGTCTTAGAAATGAATTTGGCATACAGTTGCATATTACAGTGTTCGAAAAGAAAAGGAACTTTTAAATTAGCGCACCAATAGACAGATTGGTCGGCCGGTGGCTGAGTGGTCTGCGCGTCTGGTTTGCAACCATAAGGTTTCCGGTTCGAATCCGCGGAGGAGTGGGTGCCCTCGAGGTATAAGCAGTCTGCGCGCGACTGGTGGTGGTCGCGCTGCAGCGAAGCGCCGTTACGGCGTACGGCTGAGACAGTATTTTCATTCATTTAATAGGCAGACGGAGTGGGCTGTAACTACTCAGCATCAACAGCGGTACAGCAGCGATTTGAACTGATGTTTCGCTGCCGTACAACCACAACAACCTACCGATCGAAGAATAATACGAGCAAGAGAAGGGGGACTAATCGGAAAATCTTAAGACCCTAAACAAACACAAGGTCAACGCCCAAACACCTTGTCAATAACATACCGTTACAAGCAGCTGGCTATTGTGCAAAGATAAAACGGCATCGGAGAGACAGGTTCCTTGCGGCTTTAACTGCGCCGCATCATAATCAGCCATTACATCGCAAATAAGTTAGCACCAAACACAAGTTGAAAATGTATGACTAGGACACGACAGCAGACGTGTCGATGATGCCGACTTTGAGCCTTGTCCTGTAACGTCTCAAGCCAAGCACAAGGCGGGCCATGTGGACTCCAGCCTGAAAGGCGAGACGGACCAACGACACCCAGATTTTCAGTCAGTGACTTTATATCCCGACACTTAGTTAACTCTTGATCTCTACATGTCTTGCGCCACTCTACATCAGGCAAACAAAACACGGTCCTCGGCAAGTGTGGTATTACGTGCCCAAACCAACGCAACTGATCCAATGCTATATTTCGTTGTAAGGAAATAGTCTGATGAGCACTGTTTAACACCCGCCTACGCACATCATCGTTACGGACACGTTAGTGTCCTCGGACACCAGCAACGCTTCGCAGACAACGATGATCAAAGATTTGAAGGCGCTACAGGTCCTCAAATCGGAGGGACCAAGTCTCGCTCACATAGAGTAGGACAGTCCGCACTGTGGATTAGTATACACTGCCTTTAGACGGAGGGAAACCCCATTCTGACGCCAAAGATGTTGCCGATTCAAAAAGGTAGTTCTAACTTTCGCAATGGTGAACTGATTACAGTAGTTATGCGCCCATCGTTGCCCATGCAGCTGCCAAGGTAGGTGAAGTGATCAACTACCATGAGTTCCTCGCTTGGTGGCCTTGTAATAACACTTTGCACTTTGAAGATGCGAAGCGATGCTAAATGATGGGTCCACCCCATGGAGGTTTTTGAGGGTTGACAATGCTGCTCCAAGCATGAAAATATCGTTCGCGCAATCAAAATCAATTGACATTTCACCAGGCAGCATCACAACGCTTGCATGGTGAAGCACCGCAAGAGAACACTATTTGGTGCAGTCCACGACGAAGTTGAACAAATATGAGCAAACAGGATAACCCAGTCGAATGCCACTTGTTGTCGGAATGATATCAGACAGGTTACCGTAGACCCTGATGCGGCCTGTGAGGCTCGAGTACAGAGCACGCAAAGCGTTCACATATCTTGTGGGAACAACTTTCCGCACAAGCAGTTCGAACAAAATGCATTGGACGGCCGAGCAGAGTGCACTCTTGAAATTCAAGAACATAGCTACTATCGGTCTGCGGTACGTGTGGTCCTGCTCTAGCACCTTCCGCAAAGTGAATGTATGGTCTATACAGCCCCGTCCTGGACGGAAACCTGTCAGCTCTTCCCTAGTCCGGAATTCGCGCTCCGCACTGAGGCGACGAACAATAATAGAAACCAGTAATTTTGTCACAAGTTACGTTAGGCTAATATCCTTGTAGTTAGCACAGTCGGTGCGACGGCCCTTCTGTTATATTGCCACTATAATCGATTTACTCCAGTTAGCCGGGGTGTGTTGTGTGCCTGCTACTTTCAACCACGTCAAGAGAAAGAAAACACGCAAGTTATGCACTGTATTCACAAATCTCAGGCAAAGTACAACTAACTGTGATTTTAAAAACTCATCTGCCCACTCGATGGACCGTATGATCGACCACACTGTGTCAGGCGATCCCATTAGCCCTAACTGTCAGCCCCCGCACAGGGCGGTCTCCTCCTACCATACATATTCGAACAGGGAGGTCAGTGCTTTGCACAGGACCTCACTTCCATCTTTAAATAGTGTATGTGGGAGGAAATCTTGGCCAGAAACACGAAAAAGATTGAGGGCTATGATCGCGTTTCGGATCTCAGCCTCCGATGGAGCCTCTAAACTAATCGACCATGGCTCATCCTGCACCACCTGAGTAGGAAGAGGTCCAGTAGCGGGGGCCAGCTGGAATGATCTTGAGTGTTCTGTTCAAAGAGCCATACGGCGCTGCTCATTAAGTACCAGTGCACCCAGGCTCTCTCGGATCGTCTAACCAACGTTTGGTTTCCTGGGACTAGTGGTGCGGATCAGCTGAAACAGGTTGCGGTAATTGCCTACTGCTCCTGCCTCCTCCATCTCTTGAGCCCGACTGGTCCACCAGGCTTCCTTGTCAGCACGTAGGCTGCGCTTTAGTTCGCGCCTAATAGACTGTTTGGTCACATTGTGCTCAGAGCCAGCCGGGAGGTTCCTCCTGGATTCACCAACCTCTCGAATATCTAGGGACCGCTGCGGTGACGATTGATAGCACCACAAGCGGGTGTTCCTGTGTTGTGCATGGCAGCAGAGATCCTATTCAACTGGAGCTCAGTGTCATTAGGGCAAAGAAGCGAAAGTTCGGTACGCAGGGCACTCCGGTAGGCCTGCATGAACGGGGGACTGAGATAACTACTCAGTCGCCAATCGAGGGAGACGCTTGGTACGCCTCCCGGTAAATGTGATGGAAAAACGACGGTGTACCAAGGCATGATCAGAGTAGACGCAAGTATTCCAGAACGAACGACAATGCAGGATGAAAACAGGCCACCAATAACTTATGGCAAAGTGATCTAGTTGGGTCCAGCACTGGTCAGCTACAGGAGGACGCCAAGTGGCACTTCGGTGCCCACTGTATCTAAAAACGGTGCTTTTAAGCAGCAGCCGGTGCTCCGCACACAACTACAGAGGTCGCTTACTGTTGTACGTCTGTTCGGGGGTAAGCTCATGGCTGTCACCTAGTTGATCTTTTGAAAAGTCCAGACGATCTAATGGCGCATTCATATCCCCTGCAAGTACGATGATATCTGTACTGATAACACCGAAAAGCAGTGGGTTCAGTTCGTGGTAAGTGTGCCTGGTAGCATCAGAAATGCAATCTGTGATGCATTAGCGAAAACCAAACAAGCAGCGTCTAGTGCTGCTCTGTGAATCAACCTTAGTTGATATCGTCAAACGGATTGCATACACACGGCTGCTCACGGGAATCCAATCAACCAACGATGGCTTAGCCTCGAAGCTGTGAACGATGCCCATCCCACCATGACAAATGATTGCCGCATTAGCATATCTGGATGCGTGCAACCAATGGCGAGAGGACAAGTTGGGCGCAGTGAATTTAACAATCCCGTGAAAGTCACTGATCCTACCTTCGGACACATAACACATGTCAATACCCAGGGTGCCCAACGTGCGCGCGATTGCAGTCTGTCGACATAGTTATCTTAGAGTGTAAAGGTTGAACGCCACCATGGAAATGGGACAGCGTGGCCTTATAGGACTGTTGCCGATAGGCGTCCAGTGGGTGGTGCGGGAAGGTAGCTGCAGATGGTTCGACTTCGGTGGCAATACGCTTCCTGTCAATTAATCTGGGAATTGTAAAAGGTACGTTAGTGCTGGAAGTAGGGAGAAGAGTAACAAACATGTGGAAAAGAAAGAGAGGAGGCGCCAGTAGTAGTGTGCTTCCGCTTATCTGCCCTGCTGCATGAAGCAAATAAGGCGATCCTTGATAAGATGCGAGACAGCCGATGCAGGATATGGTTGAAGTTTGAGGAGCTAGCCAATTTTTAACATAGGATGAGATAGTGCCACGACACCCAGACCTAGACAATAGGACGATTAGGGTCCTCAATCAAAGCCTTTGGCTTAAAAGCTTGTTCACAAGACAGAGGATGTGGTAACGATTCGGTTTTACAGAAATGGACACCATCACATTTCAAACCCTAATTTGGAGAACCAGGAGACCGACTTCATCTGACCTCTAACCATTGACCAACCAGGGGGCACCACCCAGTATAACCCAATGGGTATAAGAGGTGCGCAAACTGTCGCACCATGTTAACGTCTAGTTCCGTTAATATTATTGCTAACAAGCAACCCATCAATTGGCAGTAAATTATGTTTTCAGATGATGCTAGCGTTTCGGTGAGCATACTGGTGATTGTCATTGAGGTTGTGGCGCGAGATACTCACAGCATGGATCAGAGAATGTTCACGAACCGAAGCGTTGGGAATACTTAGGTATCACAAATGTGTGCTAAAGAAGTGCATGTAGATAGAAAAGCCGAAAAAAGAGCTAGGAAAGTAACCTGATGAGTGAATCAGTTAGTTTTTCGTGAAGATAATAAGATGATACGAAGTGGGAAAATCTAAGAACATTTAGCGCACAAGTTTAGGAAGTATGACCAAGCAAATAACATTTTACTGGTGATTAGCGGAGGTTTGGGTGTAATTGTAGATGTGGCTCGTCTCAGTTGCTTCACAGTCCCTTGCCTGACTGAGAGGGGATTGCGACCAGTCACATTTACAAATGGCATTCTGGTGGCTAAACAAGAACATAGAGACGCTAAGTAAACAGATAATCAGCACCGAGTTTACGTGGCTTGGGGTATGAAGACCGGTGCGAGAAACTAGGACTCTACACCTTGTCCTACCGTCGGATGCGAGTCGACCTCATTATGACCTACCGTATTCTACATCTCGGTGACTTCCCAATGTTAAGGCCAATGCTGCACTTACGAGGGCCATGCAGCACACGCGGACACAGGTACAAACTTGTCGTGCCGGATGTGAAATGTGTTCCCCACCCACTGTGCTTCGAACTGAGAGTGGCAACCATTTGAAACAGTTTACCTGAACATGTGATTGAGACAACATCTGTGGAGCAGTTCAAAACGTTGTTAGATTTATATTTTACCACTATTCGATTCAGAGAACGATTGCACACTTACGATGACATCACATTTGCGAGTCCTGAAATATCGTAAGTCAGATATTTTAAATGTTACATGGCAACGACAATGATATTCACAGTTGACAACTTTTATAACGTTTTTCACCATATTTCGAAAGAGTTGCACAGAATTCATTTCTACTTGCTCTATAATACAGTATTCAGTATCCACCTACCCAAGAAGAGCTCGCACATCCAACTGAGATGACCGAATGGTCGATGTGGGATAATGGCCAATCCAGAACGTATGGTTACTCCCTTCTGTGTGCAGTGCAAGTTTTATTACGTGAGTTTCCTCAGCCTGAAGAAGGAAGTGAAAGACGCAAAAATGATCTCAGAACTAAAAAGATACCTCCTATGTGCGGCAACAACCTGACTGAGTATAGATGAAAAAACTTGCCAGTAAAAACAAAATATATTCATTTCAGGCTGCAATTTTTGCGTGGAATTACTAGGGTTCTCTGTTACCTCTAGTGATGAGTAATACGGCCAACTACCCGAGTGTGACACCGATAACATCCCCGAAAAACGAAGCCGAATGCGAATAAGCCACAAAAAAGATAAGGTAGAAAATAACAACACCCCAACTAAAATATGCGTAAAAGAACGGTGGATAACAAGACAAAGTAACCATGGTGTACACGAAATATGTTAGTTAACAGAATAATCGCCACAAACTCCACTCTGGGGGGGATCCGAGATAGAGAGAGACAGAGAAAGAGAGATCCCTCGGCATTCACAGCCTGCATTGAATAACTTACAGGTTTCAGTTGGCCGAAAAAGTTCAGGGGGAAGTGCACGCCAACAGTTGGGCAGGCGTCCAAAAGGATGAAGGAATAAGTTCCAAACGGTTTGATGATTTTGAAAAAATGCGAACCGGCATGCTCCCTTCCTCGAACACCAAACCGACTGAAACCGAAAAAGAAATTATTGTTAAATGACACAGTTGCATGCTCATTGCTAAATTGTGAGCGACGACTAAGAAAGGCCGAGTGAAAACAAATCGCCTGTTTAACCGAAGCAATTATGGAAAGTATGCTGACCTGTTGGCGACATTAATGATCAAATGGACTATTGATAGGAAACATCTTGGAGTAGATGCTTATCCTATTGCTAATAGCGGTTGATTTCGCCATTGGCATGTCGAACGCAACTTTTATGTCAGCAACACAGTCTTGGAACCAAATGGTGTATATCATCAACGGGTGCAGACAGCGCATATCAGTACAACATCCATGGTCGGCAGATAGTACCCATCTGGATAGGGATTATGCCATAGTGTGTTGCATAACGTTCATTTTCCCAGTCACAGTTAAGCACGCAGCTTCGAGAGTGTATACTCCTTGGTGGTGCTAAAGAGACAAGAAGTAATGCCGGTGCGCGTTGAAACGTCAACTACCAGTGGCAGGCGGAATAAATGCATTAAATATGCGGGCAGAATCACCTCCAGAAAATGCACGTTTGTCTAACTAGAAGTGTAATAATTGTGAATAGAATTTTGATGTTTCTATAAGATCGAATGAAATGCGGAAGTTGATCACCTCAGCAATCAGCTTCGGTATGTGTAACACCTTGAAATGACATCCGGTTATGATCCTTAGGGTTTAACGGAAGGCGATAGAGAACGAAGGTTGGTGGTGAGAAGGCTGGTTCTCTTAGATATAAATGAGGACTGCTTAAGTTCATGTGAAAACACCCAGAGAGTATCTCACTGATCGCAAGAATGATGTATCAGCAGATAATTCGGTTCGAAGTTAAGCGGAACCATTTGAAGAGCAGACATACTGCGTAGCAATCATTTCAACTTAGAGGGGGCCACATTTTTTAATAAATCCGAAATGTACTCTGTTAAGGCGAAACTGAGAAACAAGCGTGAGTGTCTATTGGTTGATTTGACCACTGTGTCCCTATAGGAAACATTGGAGTGCTGTCCTCAGACTAACAACTGACAGTCGATTCGCTAAGAGGGCCGAATAAGATTGTTCAAAGGGGATCAGGGTAACAGTTAAAATGTGACTGATTCGACGTATCTCATGTTTACCACCCTAAGGCAACTCAGTGACTTTTATGAAAGTGGGAACAGAGAAAGACAGGCTATATGCAGTGCTAACATGAGCGTAGTGACCATAGTTCTGCGTTGCATCTAGTGCTTGGACAGTTCCGTACATAAAAACTACCGTAGTCGTTCAACTGGGCCTATTCGTGGTATTCCGTCTGCAAGATCCGAGTTCCGTGCTTACGCTGCGATCCCTGACATATGACCTTGGCGGTAGATTCTCATTGCGACTGTCTAGAGATGAGGCACCTTCGAATGCCGGTCAAGCCGGCGTAGGCATTATTTTAAGTCCCCAGGCTGAAGCTGCCCTGATTGATTGGATTCCAGTCAGCAGCCAGCTGTGTGACGTCGGATTAGCTGGCTCGTTCCAGGCTTCGAAGTCGCGAGGGGACAAACATTGCTTGTTTGTCACTGCGGCCTACACGCCCACAAACTGTAGCACTGATTCGGTGAAAAATGAATTCTATCACCAACGGAACACGTTCCTCCGTTACAGAAAAAGTACGGACACCATGTGCTTGTTGGTGATCTGAACGCCCAAGTCGGAAAATTGTCTTCTGATGAGCTTCATCTGGGCGGCCAACATGGTGTAGGCTCTCGTAATGATAAAGGAGAGCGGTTGCCACACCTGTGTGAAGATGCACGTCTTCTTCTCGCAAGCCCTAATATTCGACACAGCATTCGTAAAAGATTGACTTGGTGCCCACCAGCCTCGGACTAGCGATGGACGCAAATGGATCACATCGCGATCAGTTACCGCTGGATAGGCTGCGTCCAAAACTGTCGCTCGATTTGGTGCCACTTGACGAAACCAGGTGTTCTTCATGGGTACCAAAGTACGCTGGCATCCGGGCTGAGTAGCGCCCACTGAACACCGTTGAATATCACTGGTTGGATATTCCCCCGACGTTACAATCAGCAGGTGTCTTCATGTGGCAAATGAAATTTCCAACGTAGACATTTGGTCTCTACATAGTCTCTGGAACTTTCGGATGCTCCCCGGCGTATATCGGATAAAAGCGAACAAAATGAGACTCGCAAAATTCTCAGAGCAAAAGTGCGTGATAGCTTAAGCAGAGCCCGTGAAGTTCGGTGGTCTCGTGTATCGGAAATGAAAACAGCAACTGCCCTTGATAACCATCAGAAGTTTCCGTTTAATACGGGAGACAAGTAGCAAGAGACCTGGTGTTAGTGAGACCATGTGCGACGAGAGTGGACAGCAGATCTACTGCTCGTCAAAACACTTGGAGCGTTGGGCCGAACATTTTGAGAAGCAATTCAATCAGTCAGAGTTGTCGGCTTCTCCACCGGCCACTGATCACGCTACTCCCTGGACGATTCCTGTGGACCCGCCCTCACAAACAGAAATCGAACGTGAGATCAGACTTATGAAAATGAATAACGCCCCAGGGGCAGATAGAATTCCTAGCCATATTCAAATTCGGCGCATATGCTCTGGTAGATAATTTACGCGAGTTACTAGTGAAACTTTGGGGCAAGAAACTGTACCAACTAACCGGAACCGCCCCGTTATAGTCCCGATTTTCAAGGGTCCCCACTCTGAATGTGGCAATAATAGAGGGATCAGTCTGATCGCAATTGCTTCTAAATTGTTTGCTTCTGTCGTTCGCCACAGATAGACCTGCACTCGTGAAAACTAGATTCGCGAGGAGCAAATCGGGTTTCCTCAACATCGAGGTTACATCGACCACATCTTTACTTTACGTCAATTGTTGGAGCATCGTCATATTTATTGGCGATCCACCGTAGTAGTGTTTCCCGAAAGCAAAGTTATCTTCAAATCTGCTGATCGGTGTGCCCTTTGAGGCTGTCTGCTCAGGAAAGGTGTGCCAGAAAAATGGGTAAATATTATCAGAGCTCTGTACGCGTATAGTTCGGGAACAGTTAGGGCTTATGGCAAACTGTCGTCACCCTTCAGTATCTACAGAAGTGTGAGACAAGATTGCCTGTTGTCACCATTCCCCTTTAACTTCCTATTGACGAAATAATGGAAACAGCGTTGACTGGACACGATTTATAAGGTGTGGAACTGCTCTCTGGTGATCGGATTACTGACCTGTAGTATGCCGACGATAATGCCCTCATATCCGACAGCGCCCAAACATACCAAGCAGCGCTGGACAGACTAGCACTGACTGTCACTCTTTTGGGATATTATTTGCTCTCTTGAAACGCAAAGTCCTTCTCCAATATTGGCAGGGACCTACTCCTGCGCTGACCCTCGGCAGCGATCAGCTAGAAGTCGTTCAGGAAGTCAGGTAGCTGGGCAACTATATTAACACCCGTAGGATTGAAGATAAGGTCACAAACCATATAGCAAAAGCTCGAAGTGCTTTTGCTAAGCTCCGCCACCAATGGAATCACCGCGACATCACTCTCACCCTAAAGGGCAGCTTCCAATGCAGCCGTTCGTTCAACCATCCTGTACAGTTGTGGAACCTGGCCCACCAAGTCGACCAGCAGTCTTCGCAGCATAGCTCATGTCTGGTGAGAGCACTGCACGAGCAATGAGCGTGTTCGGCGTCGCGCATTTGGTTACAGAAGAGCAAGCGAACCGCTCAGCACCATTACACCACGCGCCAGGCTCCGAAAGCTGAGGCACGGGTTGTGCATACCAACCCACCGACTCCCGCGACGCGTTGTTTGCGCGCCGAGGGTGTGGATGGAATAAGAGAAGGGGTAACCAGGCGATGATTTGGTCAAGAGAAATGAAGGCCTTCACTTCGAAGTTGGCGTCAGTTGGTGAATCCCGACCCCCGGGCTCGGATCCCAAGGACGATGAACATGCCTGACTGGACCCTCTGGCTGACAAGGCGAGCAGCCGACCTCAGTGGCGTTCGTGTTGTAAGTTTCTTTGTCCACCTCATCTTTAGATTCCTCCTCCAAGCACGGTCGCATACCAAATAAGATAATTTGACTTTTGAATTTTTGTAGTGTTGTTTTTAGTATCCTCGCTATTTTATTTCGGTACAGTGGCGGAGGCGTGCTTCTCACGCCCAACAAACGTGTATTGACGACGATGATGATGAAAATGAGGGTGATGATGATGATGATGATTGGTGCTGCCCCGCTCTAAAACCGGTAGAGACGACAACCTTAGCAATTCGAAAATACTATCGCCATAACTCTAACTCGCTGGGTCGTAAGCGGGTATGTAGAAAGCCATCCTGTGACTTCACCATCACAAGTGTAAATCGTTAGACCTACCCCAGTTCCGTCCTGCTCTACAAAGGAACTGGGTCGACGCTCTCAGTTTTGGCCAACGTCCAACAATTGGAGGTGAGCAATCGGTTCATCACGAACCTACACACCTAACCTACGTAGTTGTATAACCTGCGGTATTTAAATCACCACAGATATCGCCATGCGCGTACGCACTGCCTGTGAGATTTTCGGAAGTATTGTGTAGGTACAGAAGTAGCTTGGTGACAACGTATGGGTGAATGGCGGAACCTACAATGCCACAGGGTATCGGGTTTTACCGTATGAGGCAAGGGCAAACTGGTTGTTTTTTATGGCACTAAGACTCAATACCGGGTTGCTTTTATCCATTCTATTATTCCTCATCATCGAAACGATCATGGCGACAATGCATCAGTTGCAACCAATAATGTACTGTTGTCGATGGAGATGACAAGCACGAAACCGGCAGCACACAGAGTAGGGACTTGGAATGCCTACTTTCTGGCTACAACACAAGGCAAAAAAGTTCACTTCATTTCACGGTTCGGCAATGAAATGCAATGAATACAGCTGCCAAACCTTGTGTACTAGGATAGCAGTAACAATAAGGAATAAAACAAGGTAAAGTGCAAACAGAGAACGAAAGCGGTCAGGAGAAAGTGGGTCAAGTTAGTCGGAAGAAAATAGTATCAGCAAGATGCAAGAAATACATGGTCGCCAAATTCCGATGTGGAGCATCCCGAGGCTCACACCCACGCGGACGGCGCGCATCAGCCTGATCAAGCCCATCAGTCCATTTCCTCGTGCATTTTGCCACGTCACCGACTATCAACCTCGCGGTTTCAACCAAGTAGATGGAGCGGGAGCATCCTTCTAGTAGTGTCAGAGGGCACGCAAAGATATGACAGAAAAACTTAAGCAGTCTAAGCTCAAGGCACTACAGTGCAGTGTCAGAGGGTTAGTTTTCAAATAGTAATTAGTGAACTCCAGTATTTTTCATCCGCTGTTTTCACCAGATGCAGGCAGTACTTCGCAAGCACCAGTGATCAAAAACAGCTAGTTTCTTGATGCCCTCCGTGTGAAGTCGCCTGGAAGTTGATTCATACATAAACACTGAAACACTGAGTTATGCAAAGTACTGATTTTGGAAAGCCCCAAGGGCTTTACTGATACTAGCAACCTCAGTGATGTGACCACCAAAAGTGACACAACTGTCGAGGTAAGTGAACTGGCCAGTCAATTCCAGTAGCTGTTCGACACAATATCGGATGTAATCAAATGTAAAAAAGGCATCAGCAGTACCGACGCTTCGATGTCGCGCAACCACCACCGGTTGCACGTGGGCTAAGGACACAGCGACGGTCGCCCTGCTCCTATCCATACTTGAACTCGCGCCATCAGACTACAGAACAAGCTCGTTACCTTTAGGCTACGAGCCTGCAACCGATTGTGGATGATATTTAGTGGATTAGTGTCCTATTGGATCGAAGACATGCGGCTTGAGATAGGCAGTAGAAAACCACAGATCAATAGCTATATTCGCTCCCAGAAAGAAATAGCCTGTAGCACGTGGCTGCGTTTAAAGTAGGCAGACTGTTAAGTCATTCGAATACTACCGCATGAATGAGGGTAAAAGCGAGTTGGTCCGTCAACTATCCAGTAAGTAGTTGCGTGGGTATGGTTCTGAAGGCGTAGAAACGTGCAACTCAGCGCAAGTAAAAGAAACATGGTGGCACATATAAAAAGTGCGGTGGCCCAGATTTTTGGCACCTACTCTGTGAGAATAGGACGAAGGAATTAAGAACATCAGGGGCAGCAACACAGTTACGACGGCCGATCAGTCTGTGATAATGGCTTAGTCAGCCGGTGGGAAGAAGGATTGCGCACTTTTTGTCATCCGGAGGTCACCGCTCCGAATTCGCGAAGGTGAGGATGGGGACCTTGTGGTATGTGCAGCGTACGCATGACCCGTAGTGGTTGCGCGGCAGCAACGCGTCGGCACGGTGTGCAGGCCTACTGCTGCGGTTCATTAATATTTCGGTGAAAAACAACACTGGGTGTAATCATTAGGGTAAATATTGAAATCGGGCTGACAAGGAAAAACGCCAAGTACTAGACACAGATGATGCATATGGTGTCCGGCAATCAGATATTAAGTAATGCTTTAGTTGCGGTACGAATTCAGGTAAAATGGAGGAGACTTGGCAGTCACGTTGCGGGAGTGCCCTTACGGAGACACTTACCCTATAGTAAAGTTATCGGGAAGCTCAAATCTACATAAATCCAAGTGACTGGTGAGCAAAATAAGATGTGAGAACGGGGAACACAATGGCTGGTGGAAATCAATATTCACATGCCATTCGGGTTTTGTTTCGACAATTACTGTACGAGCGTGCGTGGATATCACCAACGCAACCGTCTTGTACAGAACGGGCAAACAGTCCCGCGATCAATTATCGAACTGAAAAATGAGGGAACAGGGAAAATTGTGCCTACAATGGATTAAGTGTGATTAATTTCGACATGATGCAGCCAGAATCACATTCACAGATACCGCCAAGATGATAGGGGGTAAATGAAGATCTGTGAGGTGAGTGAAGCATATATTACTCACCTGAAATAGTCGGAAGTATGATTGACATGGAGAACCCCGAACATGTCTGCTCAGAAACTTGAGGGGAATAAGTAAATCTACCATGGTTGCCTCGAATATCAAAAATCCTTGTTATATTTAAGACGCCCGATGAAAGTATTGCAGAATGATACGACTTCCATTCGGATAGAGATTGCCTAGAGCGAATATGAACGTTGGATCTTGCGTCAGTCAGGTCACCTGAATGGAAACAGTAAGAATAACGCTATCTACCTGAGATGGCAACAAGTTCTGGTTGGATTACAGTAACAGTTTCAGTAAAAAAGCTGATGAAGTCCCGCACTCGTGAAAGGTCCTGACGCTCGCTGAGGTGCAAATCAGTAATCTAAACGACCCTGAACAGATCAGTAGCAACGCACCTGCATGAACCAAAAAATATTGTCAGGCACATCAGACAAGATATAATTGTCGAAATGCGTAGCCTCACGATCGCGTGCAGTGTGGCCGACTAATGGAGTGTTCTCTCGAGGTTCAAACGATAAGTGAATGGCAAGGACTATGAACAACGTACATGAGATAATGCCCAGTGCTGAGATACGGGAGTAGAGCCATGTCAACTTTAGTCGCATCAATCTGAAAACGATGGTTCATAATGAAAATGAGTGGTAGAGGAGGATGAGAGAGACTTGTCGAAAGGTTTGCAACTATCGGTTATCCAACAGCGAAGGCGTAAATCGGCCAAAGTGTAATCGAATGTGTACATCAATAGGGGAACACGTTGAGCTATTGAAAGATAAAAACTACAAACGAGAAACGCGCAGCTGAAATCACTACAATCTCAGCCAAAATTCAACATACCATTTATCATTTGACGCGTTAGCAAGAGGTGGGGAAGACCACCGCAGCACCAGCACCAGCTTTCGTCATCCTGGACGCCAGTACGCCACTTGCCCCCCCCCCCCATCATCAACCCAGCGCTGGTCACAGATTGACCACATAGCTATAAGTCGCAGGTGGCGCGGCACCGTACGCGATTGCCGATCATTTTGGTCAACATGCCTGGATACCGATTATGCACTGGGATGTGCGACCGTTTGCATGCGTTTCGGTGGTTCGCCTAAGTCAAAACACACCCCATTGAACACCTACAAGTTGGAGGACTCAATGGTGAAGAAGTATCAACAAAGGCTTCGTGAAAATCTCGCTCTCTCCCACGCTGGATGTTGATCAACACTGGTCAAGCGTGCAACAAGCCTTGCTGTCGGCCGGTTTGTCCAGCTGGGGTCTCGCTCGCTCTACTCCCAAAAGCTGGATCTCGAGAAGATCCTCCGAATTGCTGGCTCGTCGACGGGCGGAGAACAACGAACACCGCCGGTCTATTACGGAACAGCTGAAAGCAAGCCTTCGCTCTTATCGTGAATCTTGGTGGTCAAAAAAGCTGATGAGATGGAAGCTGGCAACTTCTGTCTATTTTACATCATCAGGGTCACTAGTTGCAATTTCCACGCTATCAGCCAGACGATTTGCGAATCAGACGGCACGAAGATCACCAACCTTCACAGGCGATTGGGTCGCTGGGCAGAGCATTTCGTTCTTCAATTCAACCACCCAACACAGCCCCATGTGACACCTCTAGCCCCAATGGGTGATGCTTGGCATGTCTCCACAGCCCCCCCCCAAATGAAGCAGAGATCCGAAATGCAATCCAATCTTTGAAACGCCACAAGGCTCCGGGTCCCGGATAGCCTACCACCGGCTCTATTCAAAGATGGCGGGAATGTATTTATCAGCGAAATCCTATCGCTGTTCACGAAAGTTTGGACTGAGAAGGTTCCGAACTCATGGGGAGAATCGGTCATTGTTCCGATTCACAAGAAGGGCTCACGCGACGATTGCTGCAACTACCGCGGAACCTCTATCGCATCCAAAATCTTCGTGTCGGTCCTACTTCGCAGGCTTTCAACAACTAGAGAGGAGTTTTCCCGAGAAGAACAAGCCGGATTTCGTCCAGACCGCAGCTGCATCGACCAAATCTGCACGCTCCGCCAAGTCTTCGAACTCCGTCATATCCACCGGCGACCAACAATCGCAGTATTTTTGGACATCCGAGCGGCATTTGGTTCAGTAGATAGATGTGCGTTGTGGAACTGTTTACTGAAGAAAGGTGTGCCCGACAAGTTTGTAACCATCCTTGAAAGAACTTTACAGTCACACGTCGGGCAAAGTCAGAGCTTACGGCACGCTCTCTTCGTCATTTGCTGTGACTAGCGGTGTTCGCCAAGGCTGCCCTATTTTACCTTTCCTCTTCAATTTTGCCATCGAAGATGTCCAAAGAGCACTGGAAGGTGTCCAGGACTGCGGTGTTGAGCTACTCCCTGGAGACATAGTCACGGACTTGGACTACGCCGATGATATCGCCTTGCTGGGGAACGACCCACAAACCGTCCAGAGCGCTTTGGACCGCTTAGCGATGGAGGCGTCTAAGTACGGCTTATGCTTCACTCCGGGAAAATATAAAACGCTGCTCCAGGACTGGCAGGTGCCTGAACCCGCGCTCACCATTGCTGGACATGTTCTGGAGCAAGTCCCTTGCTTTACTTATCCAGGGAGTTGCATCACGGCTGGTGGCGGTGTTGGAGATGAAGTCGCAGAACGGATTGCAAAGACCCGCCTTGAATTCACCAAACTGAGACACCTATGGCGTCGTCGTGATGTCAGTCTCAAGCTCAAGGGCAGGGTGTACAATGCTTCCGTCCGTGCAGTACTCTTGTACGGCTGTGAGATGGCCTATTCGCTCGGAAGACATGAAGCGGCTGTCAGTCTTCGACAATCGCTGTCTACGAAGGATTGCTCGGGTGTGGTGGCAACACCACGTAAGCAACGCAGAGGTGCGAGACCGCGTGCTTGGAGCGAATAGTGCCAGTTTCAGGACGTCATTCTCCAACATCGCATGCGTTGGCTCGGGCAGGTTTGCGCATGCCAGCCCATCGCCTTCCACGTCGAGCGCTATTTGCACTCCCAGGGAGCGAGTCGAAAAAGTGCCGCGGTGGACAGCCAATGACGTGGAGAAGGAGCATGAAGAAGGCAACCTCAAGTTTGGCGGCAGTCGGACCAGTCCGCCTTCCAGGTTGGGGACCACGAGATGCTGAATCGCAGTGGTTGGAAACATTAGACGTCATGGCCCGCAACAGACATCAGTGACGTCAATGTTGTTCTGCAATTTCACCATCCCTTTGATGCACACAAAAACTCACAAAACAAAACAAAAATACAAAATGGCGTGTGTAAAACCAAAAAAATCGTTTCCTATATTTTTTAATCGCATTAGTGTTCCCATCTTCTTCACTTTTGTTTCTTCTGCCATGGTTCTGATGGCACAATGTCTGTTAACAGACTGTGAATATATATATGTATATATATATGCCTTTCTTTCTCATATAAATGTCTAGTGGGCCATGAGCTAGGTCCTTTGGGGCCACTACAGAAGCGACGATGGGTCCTGCAGAGAATTACGACGAGCCGGCGCAGCGTTTGTAGGCACGCTGATTTCGATTTACTAACCGCGTGCTTGCATGCTAAGTCTCTTTATTTCAGGTGGTGGGTTTACAGTTTTTACCTTAATGCTTTTCTTTCTTATATAAATATCTCCATGTACTCTATTCCATTAACTTGCACATATCGCTTTAGCCAGTTGTATTCGATTTCCATAAGATTTTTGTGTTCGTGGCATACCGTGAACTATACTTCCTGACTTCGTGCACTTAGCTGGGATGTGTTTGTAAACAACTTATTACGTATGCTATTTAATTAAGGTTTATGTCACCGTTTCCTTATGCATTAATCGAGATTTTCTCTCTTCCTTTCTCTCTCTCTCAAGTGATTGGCTGTTGTTTGATATCCCCGGTGTGGCTGCGCTTGATGTGCATGTTGACAAGGTGCCTACCTGTCTATTACCCACTACCTCGTCCATACTGGCTCCAGGAGACAGTTGGTCGTTGCTGGAGGGGACGGGGTGCACGGTTCTTGTGGCCGTGTTAGGCTCGAAGAGTGGTTCCATGCACTCAGTATGGAGCGGACTACGGTCCAGCCACCGCCTTGTGTGCGGTTGTTTCCCCAAATACAGCGTGCTTGTGTTTGCCTGTGAAGGAGTGTGGGCCGGCTCCGTTGATGAAACGTGGTTCCCATCCACATGCCTCCCGGTTTTATTCCTTCGGGTTTACACTGGATATGGGGTGTGTGGTTGGAGCTGTGGGTGGTGCAGCGCAAGCCATCCATGGTCCCTCTGTAGGCGCAGGCGTCCTGTGGCTTGCCACAGTGACAGGCAAATCCGAAACCGGATGCCGCCAACCATGTATGCTGAGGCTGATGTTGCATTCTTGATGCTTCTTCACCGCAGTTGGGCTAAACCAACTTACACTTAAACTAGGTCTCTTTAAGCTGCATAAATTTCATTCCAGTTTCTTTGGTTAGTTTTCCCTATCTGAATAGTCTTCTATTAGCTGACCACGTCGCTTACGCTAATTGCGCTTATCTTCGGTAATTTTGTTGCGTTTGTAGCATTTTTGAGTAACTTGTGGACATTTTTTCCTTATCACGGATTCATTGCTAACCAATTTACTTCATATGCTAACTTAGCGAAGAGTTATGCCACCGTATCTGTATGCATTATTGGATTTATGTTATTTCATTTTGTCGTTTCAAGTGATTGGCTGTTGCGTGCTATCCCCGGTGTGGCTGCGCTTGATGTGCATGTTGACAAGGTGCCTACCTGTCTATTACCCACTACCTCGTCCATACTGGCTCCAGGAGACAGTTGGTCGTTGCTGGAGGGGACGGGGTGCACGGTCCTTGTGGCCGTGCTAGGCTCGAAGAGTGGTTCCATGCACTCAGTGTGGAACGGACTACGGTCCAGCCACCGCCTTGTGTGCGTTTGATTCCCCAAATACAGTGTGCTTGTGTTTGCCTGTGAAGGAGTGTGGGCCGGCTCCGTTGATGAAACGTGGTTCCCATCCACATGCCTCCCGGTCTTATTCCTTCGGGTTTACACTGGATATGGGGTGTGTGGTTGGAGCTGTGGGTGGTGCAGCGCAAGCCATCCATGGTCCCTCTGTAGGCGCAGGCGTCCTGTGGCTTGCCACAGTGACAGGCAAATCCGAAACCGGATGCCGCCAACCATGTATGTATGTATGTGCCCCATGCTGAGGCTGATGTTGCATTCTTGATGCTTCTTCACCGCAGTTGGGCTAAACCAACTTACACTTAAACTAGGTCTTTTTAAGCTGGATAAATTTCATTCCGCTTTATTTGGTTTGTTCTGCCTCCCTGAACAATGTTCTATTAACTGGCCACGTTGCTTACACTAATTGTACTTATCTTCGGTAATTTTGTTGCGTTTGTAGCATTTTAAGTAACTTGTGGACATTTCTTACTTATCACGGATTTGTTGCTGACCAACTTACTTCATATGGTAATTTAGCGAAGAGTTATGCCACCGTATCTGTATGCATTATTGGATTTATTTTATTTCAGCTTGTCGTTTAAATTGAATGGCTGTTGTTTGATATCCCTGGTATGGTTGCGCTTGATTTGCCTGTTGACAAGGTGCCTACCTGTCTATTACCCACTACAT